CCGGCTAGACTGTCTTTTCGATTCATAACTGAAGTTGCCGCTGCTTTGAAGGGCAAGTTGTAACACAATAATGGGGATATATCATCATTACTTGACCCTGCAGAATTGAATGTAACGGGCAATGAGGGGCTGGTCAAAGATCGATGCTTTATTTGCTTCCGTTTAGGGCCCAGACTTTTCATATCTCCTTGGTAGTCGGTGAAAGCATAAAATTTTAATTGAGCAGGATCACCGGTGTTCTCACCACACACACAAAAATGTGAGGGCATATCCTGAAAGGTTGGAGATAACATCCGATTCAAAGGATCTATAAGAATAAACAGAGAGCATAGAATAACTTACTAACAAAATTTGTAATTAAATTGGCCCTAAGAAACTAGGAGATATTTTATTTTTTTAATTTTACAATATTCAAAAATATATATTTCTCTAAGACCTGTTAATGCGCACTTTTAAGTAAGGCTATAATCCTGCTATGAACAATGCACCAATCTTCTTAATATAAAATTAATTAACATTAGTCAAAAATAAGGTAGGAATTGATTAGTATAAAAATTATTTTGCTATATCCTATCATAAAGAAAAGGCGACGCTAATTAACTCAAAGTTATTCAATAAATTTAGAGTTTCACAGCTGCGATTTCATAAGTAAATTTGAACTATTGATATAACTTTAATTTGGTAACTGGCTAAAATGACTTCGTTTTCTATTTTATGATTAAGTATGTTTCTACTATTACTAAAAGTTAGTTAGTAAACTTCTTTAATCATATAGCTTCTATTTATATAGTTTTAAATGGCTATATGATTAAGAGCTGTGAAAATGTGCATATCTATGGCATAGGTCATATTTAAAGACAAAGAAAACAACCTTCAAAATTTCTTTGCATTATAGTTATTACTAGTTATTCGTCATTTACACAAATTGAAAATTTTAAGATAAAAAAGTAAATATTAAGTCCGAGGAAATTTTATATATGCCTATATTACAGAGGTCCAGGTAACAGGAAGCATAAAATATTGAAAGTAAATGCTTTATAATTGAAAAATACTTACCAAAAACACTAGATAAACTATATTTAAAGTTGTCTTCTTATCTAAATTGCATATTAATATTCCTACCTTAGAAATCAATGCATTCATGTTTTATTGTATTCTATTTTTCTGATAATAATTATTTAACTAAAAGTATGCTACCAACAGTGCAAAACTTAGCGATACAAAAAGCTCACTCAATTGAGCCGATATTATCCTAGTTCAATTTAATAATTATTGCCTAACTCTTAAGATTTCAATGATATAACTTGATAAAGATTCCAATATACTACTAAATAATACAATTAATTACATTCGATGTTATAGTACCATTTATATATATATACAATCGGAGTAGCTTCTAATTCAAATTTCATATAGAGATTTTTCTGACCATGATAAGGTAGTTTAGTAGTAAATACCGCATGCCTAACCTTTATTTTCCACTTTATTTCTAAATATTCAGCCTGCCTATCCATGAGACTATTAAATACCTGATTTAAAAAACTTTCCTATACCTTATAAATCACACATAACTAGTTTACCTTGTTATAGTAATGGATAACCGTATATATAGAAAACAATCCTAAATAGCTTAAGGGCATTCTATATTTATATTTAACTTATTTCTAAATTTCTGACTACTTTGTTTGTCATTGTTTTATTTACATACAACTTTATTCCTGATATCATTGGGGCAGCATTTTGCATAACATTTTAATAAAAGATTTGGCGAAATAATTGTTGTTTAATTTTGCTAGACTTTA